CTCTGAACTTCTACTAAAACAGGGGTTTGGAGCAGCTTCGCTCTGACGAGATCCAAACCTCGGGTGTTTTTGATTCTTTCCAGCTCCTTTTTGCATTTCTCAGCCCCCAGGAGGCCGGGATCTCCCCTCTTTGCCTGGGTTTAGCTCCCAAAAAGCTCCCTGGCCCGGGATGGTTCAACCTGCTGTGTCCCAGGAATGCAGCCTGGGAAGCAGGGGGCTGAGCAGTGAAGCACTGCAGAGCCAGGCTGCTTCCAAACCCGTTACAGGCACTCAAGTAATGGGCATGAGCCAAGACACCCAGATGCCAGATGGGACAGGTGGGCACAGGCCTGGCATCGCCACTTTGGGGTTTCCCTGCACTGCCTTTTATCTCCCCAGCCTCACCCAGCGCTTTGGGCTTCACCCCTGAGCTGGTTTCACTCCAGGATCACACTGTGAATGTCGCCGATGGTGACCGATCCCCCTCCCATGTCCCTCCAAGCCCTGCCTTGGTCCTTCAGGCTCCAGGTGAGCAAACACAGGTGCTGCTCGTCCCTCTCAGCCAGGAGCCAGGCTGGCTGGCTGCCCTGCTCTGGGACACGTCCTCTCCCCCTGCCTCTAGGGCTGCATTTGCCCCAGCTGCCTCTTTTCCCCCCCTCACCCCGATTCCTCAGCTTGGGGCTGCTGCTCCAGGACTGGCAGCACCAGGGCCCTGCCTGGGTTTGTGCCTTACACACCTGCTTGGAGCAGGCCCAGCAGCACACAAGTGACACCCTCACCCCCCCCCCCAAATCCAGCAGTGAAATGGGAAGAGGTTCCCAAGAGGCTGGAGGAGGGCAGGAGGGTGATGCTTTGGGGCTCCAGGCAGGGTGGCTCCCTGTCCTTTATCCTGCCTGCCCAGGGGAGCTGCCTGCAGCCTGGTTATCTCTCCCCAGTCCTCCCCCAGGAGCCCTGGGCAAGTCTTAACCCCCAGCACAGCCCTAGAGATGCAGTTTGGTGCCCCCCAAAGTGCTTGTGTCCCCAGGGATGGGGCCAGCTTGTTTTTGGGGCGACTGTGGGGCCCTCAACTCCCTCCCTCTCTTCTCCTGCCCAACTCCAGCACCAGAGCAAAGAGGACTGGTCGCTGGTAGTACATTTATATTGTTGATACAAATAAAAACAAACAAAAAAAACCCAACCAGAACCAAACCCAAAAAAGTAACAACAACAAAAATGTTTCTCTGAAGGGAGGAGAGCAAAACAGGAACATTTACAAACACTTCTGGCTCTAGCTTGGACCAAGTTAATGTTAAATACAAAAAAGAACAACAACAAAAAAACAACAAAACAACACCCCCCCCCCTCCTCCCCCAAGATTATAAAAAAATAAGAATATACACATTCAAAGAGCTTATTACAGTATAAAGTTACTGAGGCCCAGGCTCTGCTGGTCCCAGCTCCCCGGGCAGCACAGAGGGGCAGGGGCTGGAACGGTGGCAGGGGACAGGGGCTGCTGTCCCCCCCCAGGTGGGCTTGCTGCCCCCCCCAGGGCTTGGGCTTTTTTGCTCAGCACTTTTCCAGGCTACAGGTTCCCACTGCCAGGCAGGGAAAGCTGAGCAACCTGGAAGTGCTGGTCAGTCCCCATCACCTCGTACCTAGTGACACCTGTGGGGCAGGGGACACGGGGACCTTCTTGTCCCCCCAACCAAAGTCCTCCAGATCTTCCTCCTGTGAGCAGAGTTGCCCCCTCCCAGAGGTGAGGATGGGGAAGACAAGATAAGGAAAAAGGGGGGGGGGAATGCTGCCGAGCATCCCTGTGCCATCCCGTGGGACAGACACGGGAGCGGGTCCCAACGCTGCCCGCGAGGAACAAAAAAAAGAGGGAGGAAAGAAGACAAGACAGAGCCAGGACCAAACTCACCGCTCCCGGGATCACAGCAGTGAGATGGCAGGACAGGGGGGACCCAGAGGAGCTGCTGCAAGGGGCTGGTACGTATGTATCTATAGAGCAGCTGGGGTGGGCACAGAGAGGATGTATTATATACACACAGACAGGCAGACGGGCAGGGGGGCAGGTAAGACTGAAGTAGGTGCCTCTTCCAAAGCCTCAGACCAGGGCACAACTGGAAACACAATCCCCGGGGGCTTTGCAAAGCCCCCCCCTTCTGGATACATTTTAAGATGGTCCCCCCCCAAAAAAAAAACCCCAAACAACCCCAAACTAAACCAAACCAAAAAAACAAAGCACCCCAGACTTGAAGAGAAGAAAAACCACCTCCCCAAAACAACCCAACCCCCCCAGCACTGGGCCTCTTTGTCCTCCACCCCCCCGGGGGGAGCGAGGGCCGCCGGTCGGTGTGAATAAGGCACAGTTCCAGACGTGAGGAATGGGCAGCTCCAGGACACGGAGGGGGCTCTGGCAGCCCCGGGGGAAGGAAAGGGGGTTCCCAGCGGGGAGGCAGCAGGTTGTCTCAGGGTCCCAGCGAGCTCCTCTCCTGGGCAGCCCGGCTGTTCTGGGGCTCCATTAGAATATGTAGGGCCAAGGTTTTAGGCTCTGAGGCCA